TTTAGGCAGATTTTATAGAATAATGGAAGAATAAATATAACAACAAAGGGAAGAAAAGGACAGCTGGTATTTATCATGTGGGGGCTTTGTGTCCTAAGAAAAGTGTCCTTGAAATAATATGCTAGAACAAGGAAGATGGATTTAGAAATCAGAAACAAGAATGCTGTTGTAGACACTGCTGGTGCTCCACCCAAATCTCCTCTACCAGGCTGCAAGAGCCCTTCTCCAACTACTCTGAGTGTTGGTGCTAATGGCTCCAACACTGCTTGTACCCCTTCTGAGAATTGCTATTGGCTGACAGAAACCATCCTGCCTAGGAAGTTACTCTCATGTCCTTCTCCCTGACCCCTAGGTAATCTCAGGTTTATGGGGCCCCAAAATCCTTTCCCTTTTCCTCAAGCGGAGACAAATTTATGATGTAGTTTGTCTCCTAAGCTTCCTGTGTCTCAGGCTTCACCTGAAACTACCTTCTTGCTCAGCCCTTTACTCTCCCTTTTATTTCCCTCACTCCCTTACAATTTCTTCCTGAAGAGTACCCCTTAGTAAATTATAGCACTTGAACTTCTACGTCAGGTTCAGGTTCTGAAGTCCCAAACTTTATAAAAATAGAATCTACTTAGTACAGAAGAGAATAAAGCAGAACACAAACTAACTAATGAAATGGGAGTAAGGAGCCATTGTTCAAGGTGGGTTTGATGAGTTAGTAAATTAGTGTTTGACTTAATTAGGAGGCTGATGTTTCTTTCCTTTTCTTTTTCTCTTTCTTTCTTTCTTTCTTTCTTTCTTTCTTTCTTTCTCTCTTTCTTCCTTTCTCTTTCATTTTTTCTTTCTTGAATAGGTTTTTGCTATAGGGTGTGTGTGACAGAAAGTGAGAAATCACCCCCAGGGGGATGGCCACACTGTAATCCTTTCTCCTCCATTCTCCTCTTGGGATCTTGGGCACGCATGCACACACACTAGTGTGAGTTTTAAGCCACCGGGTCTGGGACTTGAACCACAGTTGGCTACATGGGAGTCCAGTGACATAGCCATTACATCAACTGCTAGTCCCAGAACACTGATGTTTCTAAGTAACAGACACCTCCTTGTAAAGTGATTTAATATAAAAGTGAGGATATTTTCTGAAAAATATGCCACAGGGAATGTAAGGGCGGCAGGCGAGTCTAAGTAGAAGGCTATCCACAATATCCTCCTCTCTCTCATCTTTGTACCTGCTTCATTATGCTCTTTTCTGCTTCCCTGGTCCAATGGAAGAATATGTAGTCATGCTAGAGCTCTGATAATGTTTTTCTTTCTTCCTTTTGGGAGATTGGACCAGGCTCCATTGTTTCAATTTTTTGGTCCAAGATAAAAAATCTTATTAGTCCACTTATGTCAGGTGAGAGTCAGACCAATCAATCTTAGCCAAAGAGCAAAGGTTTGTGGTGGATGAAACATGAACAGTTCTCTAAGAAAGAAAATTGGTCAGATAACATTGTGGGTGTTCACTATAGTAACAAAAGTAGACCCAGGAAGTATCATTTCATGAACTCTGTCATCCTTTAAGGTACTTTTTAACTCTGTTCTACGTAAAACAGTTAAAGAGACAGCACACCAATGAGGTCAGGGAACATGTAAAACTGGAAGGAATAGTCATTATGGTAGCTAATAGAATAGGGATACCAAGAGTTGGTAACTTTAAATAGTGTTCCAAAAAATAAGATTATATACAATGAGATAAATAATGACTCTTTAATTAGGTTAACAAGGTGCTGAGTAATAATAGGATGGGAAATACCTGATTTGACTATGGTTAGTTAAAACAAAACAAAACAAAACAGGAACCTAGGTATTTTAGTTGACTAAGAGCTGATTGTGTCATGATGTGGCTTCTAATAAAGGTTTTGTCATCTCAAACTGCATTTACTAGTATATAGATCAGGGCAGAGCATAAAAAGTAGGAGAGAAGGTAGATGTGTTTGTGCCCTGCACTTGTCGGACCAAAAGTGTACTCAGTGCGAGGCTTTGTATTTAATGGCGTTCCTCCTCAGGAAGTAGAAGAATGCATATTTACTGAGCAGCTAATTACTAGTCTCCACAGGCAGAGATTTTAAGCTATGTCCCCTAGGTTCGGTGGGTTATTTGGAAATACATACAGTTTTATGAGAAACATAAAAGAAAATGTTTTGATGAGAGGGGAGACAATCTCTGGAAGTGGCAGGACTGTGCTCAGATGTGGTAAGATGTCATATAGAGAAGAAATAAGGCAGTGTGTGCTATTTAAGAGGGTGAAAGAAGCACCCCATGTGCCTAGTCAAGCAAGATTGAGACGGATTTATGATAGATAGGAGTTGGTTAGAGATTAAGAATGTCCCATGGGATAGAATAGGCCTGTCCCCCACTGTTTCCAGCAATGAGTCCATACAGTCCCTGGAAATGTCTAAGAAGAAACGGAAGGTTAACAACTAGCTGCCATTGATTGACTACTTCCTACATGCCGGCTCCCGTGCTAAGTGCATTGTAGATGCCATTGCAAATCCTCAGAAATTTTGCAACACAAAAAATTAAAATCCTTATCTTGTATTTTACAAGTGAGAAACATGATGTCCAGAGGGATTACAGGACTTGCTTAATATCTCTTTCCTTATAAGTGGCAGCATCTGTAGTTGAAACCACATCGAATTCCAAAGTAGAGATGTTGCCAAGTGGATTCCTGCCTTATTAGGAGGTTGAATTAGACAACTATGAAGTACTAGTATACTAATTTTGCTAATTTACTGAACCTTAGTTTTCACCCAGTAAAGAACATGATCTCTGCAGTCCTACTAAATACCGTGATGGTAAGTATGACTTTTTTTGGATAGCAAACTAGATGTTTTTTCTCTATGAAGTTAGAAAATTAAAGTAGTGTATTAGTAAGGACTGTATAAATGAACCATCCCCAAACCTCAGTGGCTTAACCCAATAACTTCAGC